CCCGCTGGTGGCAACCCCAGTACCCGCTGGTAGCAACCCCAGTAAACTCCGGTAGCTACCCCAGTACCCGTTGGTAGCAATCCCAGTACCCAGTGGTAGCAACCCCAGTACCCGCTGGTAGTAACCCCGGTATCCGCTGGTAGTAACCCCAGTACCCGTTGGTAGCAATCCCAGTACCCGCTGGTAGTAACCCCAGTACCCGTTGTAGCAATCCTAGTACCCGCTGGTAGTAACCCCAGTACCCGCTTGTAGCAACCTCAGTACCAGCTTGTAGCGACCCCAGTACTCGCTTGTAGCAACCCCAGTACTCGCTTGTAGCAACCCCAGTACTCGCTTGTAGCAACCCCAGTACTCGCTTGTAGCAACCCCAGTACTCGCTTGTAGCAACCCCAGTAACCACTGGTAACATTCAAGTCTTGGGTAAGAGGCGTCTATACAATCTGGTGTTTCTTAGGCTGCCAATAAAAATAAATCCACTGAACTGCTTTCTCTTGAGAAAAATAAATTCGAATGGAATTACGTTAAACACACTATATTTTTGGACTTTGTAACCAGTTGAGAAGTATATGTTTGCTATGTATTTACATAGACCAAGTATCACTCGTCAGCTTCACACAGAGAAAAGACGCTCTCTTGGCAGTTTAATAGAGATCTCTAAAACGTGCCGCATACAGTGAACAAATTACCACACACACACACACACCAGGGCCAGGAGCTGTGAATCGACCCCTGCAACCACAAATATGAGTATACACGTGAGCACTACACCTTCGCCCAAGTGGACGTAAGCTAATTCTAGAATTTATTACCTAAAATACTGTCGCGTAGAGTCATATCAGTACAAACTGCGGGTGACTGCTCACTGCAATACTGCCAGCTAAATTCCCTAGACAAATTACATACCAGTTGTATATGAAATACCATAAAAATCATTACATCATCCCAGAGTTATCAGAGGGACATTCTCTGGAGCGGTGGTTTACCTTAGATACGAATGTACTTAGCAAGGAACCCTGGAAAGATAACAGCCTGTAAATTTGGTTTTATAAAGAATGATGATAAACCTGGTATATGATGCCGACAAGTTGTGGAAAGACACGTGAGAAAATACATAGCAACTTTGCGTGGGAATGCGTACCATGGTAATCATTGCCTGACATGGGGCTGCCTGACTCGGCAGCGACAACTGTACACAAATTCACCGAAGGTATGAAAAAGTAGAGAAGAAAAATTTTTTGAAATAATGTTTGGCCAATTCTATATCAATATGCAGCAGGTGGTGGTATGATAATATACATAATGATTATTTTGATTCGATTTTCAGAAACATTTAATACCTGTATTCCACATGTTAGTCTCTGAGGGCAGAAAGCAGTAAATTAGCTGATGAGAAAGACACATTATAACATCCTCAAGTTCCTGACAGCACAAGAAGTTATCGTACATAATTGTATGTCATCTACAATAAAATTACCATTGCACACCCTTTTAGTTACGGCACTATTACGTGTTATGGTTCTCTTCCACCAAGGTCTAAAAACATTGTTTACTTCTCTGCCTATCGTCTCCAGTTGGGTCATTAATGCTGTAAGTAACCTGCACACTAAACAATCAGTAAAACACAACAACTAATCCACAAATTATAGATAAATCTTAGACAAACTTTCAGTAACACCTAGATCTCTAGAAGTAGCAAAGGCCAGGTCAGTAATACTTTCATCCCAAAAACAGACATTTTGTCATCTCGAGGACAGCATAGCACACACTTCGCTCGTGATCATAGTCTAGCTTCTCACTTGTTAATAAAACGCGTTTACAGCTTGATTATATGTGTCAAGCTGACTGACTCCACACACACGAGCTCTGACCACCCAGACCAATCACTCCAGGATAAGGTAATCACTGGTCGCTGCTGATTTGGTTCACTATTCGGCCAATAGCTACCCCAATTTCAAGAGTCTTAAGAGAATCATAATTAAATGGAGAGATTTTTTTTCTACGAGATGCTTGTAATATCTACAGGATGTAACCTATCCTTCTATAGAGTTTGATAAATACTAACTATTAACTCTGTATATATTTCTAAATGCTACCGCTCATACAATGAGCTGCTGGCGAACAATAAACTAGTTGCTCACCCAGTACAAATTTTATTGTTCTCACGCCACCTGTTTGAATCAATGTTGGGTCACAAGGCCACACACGGCAGGGGGGTCAGAGTACCTTCCACCAGAGCCACTCCTACCCTAAGTAACAGAAACCCCAGCTCTGCAGGAATTAAATATTTTAAGTTCCCGTAACGGATGTACTTTTAATGGAATACTAGGCGATAGATTTATTGTGCTTCTGAATTCTCTCAGTTCGGACTGACATAGTTCAACATATCCTAACCTAACCTAAGAAACGAAAATTAAGAAAGTTGCTATAAACCGTATGTGAGACATCAACAAAGAACTGGCGAGAATGGGTAGGAACATCAAAGGAAACAGCTAACCTTTGTTCCTGCTATGTAACTATTAGGTACTGGGACACATTTGAAAATAATACGACAGGTGTCCTTTTACCTAAGATATTGTCGGTAATTCTACCAAAATTATTGCACTATGTAATTATTACTTAAAACAGAGTAGCAGCACAACATCCCTTATAAAGTGCACCGAGTCAGTTCACATGCCACAGCCACGAAGGTGTTAGGATACCTCTTCGTGGATCCTAGATCAGCTAGCTGAAGAACTAAATGGCTAGATGTATGCCCCTCATGCTGCAGTTCTCTGGTAGCGGTAAAGAGGTGAATGTCTTAGTGACAATCACACTAAGGTCAAAAGGCGACGGTGGTGGTATATTCGCCAGGAAAGGGAACAAGTGTCTCTTGACACGGGTCCTTGTGTATAATATAGCATGGACGGTGATCATTATATCAACGGTATGTAATACCGACAAGCTGGTGAATATGAGTCGTGTGCAACAACTGCATACCTTTACTGAGGAGAGGTTTCGCTTGCAAACGAAACCTCTCTTCAGTAAAGAGACCCAGGTATTATACATGTGTTATTCTGTTGTATGGGCCTAACGGGTTAGTTAACTATCAATAAACTTTTCCTAATCAATCCAACAGATAGTGCAGAAGTCAAGAACTATTCCACACACATCTTTCACCCTCTCTCTCTCTCTCTCTCTCTCTCTCTCTCTCTCTCATAACGCAACGAAGGCTAATATACATTATATGTTTTATACGTATTTTGTGGAATAACCTCAACTTTTCCATAAATTTAATTCAGGAGACAAAACCAGTAAGCACCACTATCGCCTTATAATTTTCGCTAATCATACTTTTCTCTTTCTAGTTAAGGCTGCGGACTGCAGTATAGTGTCTCGGGAGAGTTAACAGCAGGAGGGTGACCACTAACATAGCAGAGGTGTGATTCACGGTGCCACCCTTCTGTGCTAATTATGTTACATGTCAGAGAGTTTACCCAGATGGAAGACATGTATGTGAAGTCCTAAACATCGATGGCAGACGTGGTCGACCTGACAATGAAAAATAATTTTAGCACTGGTAAGCCGTCGATGGCTGTTTCCGTGTCCCGTTACAGTGTTACTGACTATTCCATCTTCACACTCAAACCACTAACAGTGGAGATTGCTAGGTATCGGCAGCAAACTCTGCTGCCATGTTCCACCAATGTGACACTAAGTCCAGCGGTCCCTCTCGCCGAGGCCACCATACAGCTGGCACCACTAAACTGGTCATTCAGACCTAAAGCAAAAACTTGAGTTATGTGATTCCGGAAAATAAAGCTCTGAATATGCTATCGAAGTCTATTGCGTCAAGTAGGAATAACACAGGATAGGGATATCGTAAAATCAATGATATGCAATACCAACAGTTTGAAAAATTAGACATGAAATAAAGATGACCAGTTGCCGCACATTTGTCAGACTTATCTAGATAGAGAGCTCTAGATATTAAAAATGATTACATAACGGGTTTAGAATTTGTAGACAGCAACACTGAGATAACTTCCCAGTCATATGCAGATATCTCAGAATCTCACTGGTCTACTAACTTTGTAATAATGGTACAAAATACCAGCAAGTAGATGAATGAGACACATCCCGTGGGACGGAACACTTAACATCTTCATTTCTTCAACTGTCTCTGTACTCAACTGAAGAAGTCTGCTGAACAGGTGAAACGTTTCTACAGTAAAGATACCCAAGTGTTGCACATGTCTTGTGAATCTACCAGTCTTGCTGTCTACCATCTTAACCCCGGAATAATATCACTGGAGACCCTGAAAAATTAAGAGTAAGCTCCACTTCAGAGGAATGACCTAAAAATCCATTATTTAAAAGTCAAATTATGACAGATTCTTGTGCTTTGGTGGTAGACGTTAGACTCCCCTTTAGTTATGGAATTCCAAGTTTCAGAACCCCAAGATCGTAGTTCCAAGACTTCAGAACCCCAGATTGGTAGTTCCTAGGTATTAGAACCCCAAGTTATAGTTCCAAGGCTTCAGAACTCCAGGTTGGTAGTTGACCACCCCTCCACCTGATGGCGCTGGTGTTAAAGATCGTATTGCGCATATAAGTTGAAATCAAAACGACCGATAATTTCATTTCTTATCAGTAATATAACAAGGTGAATGAAATAATTGGGAATGTAATTTAAAGGACTCAACCACTGACATAACAGTGGGAGAAATTTGCATGTCCATGACCAGATGCCAAGTGGAGCTCATTCCGGAGTCAGAAAAAATGCTTAAAACATATAGAATTGTGAATAGTCAATTGAATTCAACCTTTCAAATGATAAGTAATCGCTGATTGCTTCTACTGAAACCAATGGAGTTGCAGTTCAAAACGACTTAAGTAGTCGGCAACCAATCAGGGTCCAGCTGCCAGTCCAGAGTGGACCAATCAATACTCGAGGATGGAGTAGCGGGCAGCACGGCAAGCGTGATGAGTAGTGGCGCTAAGTGGTTGGAAGCTCACGGTGGGTGGCAGTGCTCTCTTAAACGTTGCGGTGGGCAGAGGTCCAGAGAAAAAATGACGCCAATGATTCCCGTAAAAGTTTGCAGAAATTGAAAGAAGCAGAAAAGTAAGAAGTGCTAAAAATTTGATTCTGGGGAGACTGGACATTCACCATCAGCATGATCATCACGTCACATCTAAATCTAAAGAATTTGCTGGTTCGTCAGGTTTCATTGACAGTCTGGTAGACCAGAGAACATCTTTGAGCCAGAATGTACTCATAGGTCTGGAGCTGACAAAGCTGAACTACAATGGTAAGATAAACACACCTATTAGCTCCTGTATAGCACTATGTCCTACCAGGCGACACCTCGAGGCGCTTCCCTGTCGGCTGTGGAGGTCCCTGAGAGCACCATATCCACTGTCTCTCTCGCAGTGTCAAAGTCAGCATCTGGAGGGTCTCGCCTGGTGACAGGGCGTGACGCTGCTGGTGCCACGGGAGGAATGGTCAATCGGTTCTCCGCTCCTAGGAGTCTATGGCATAAAGTCAAAGTCCCATTAGTGGTGAAATCTGGCCGTGACCAATATTCCCGGGAGCTCAGGGAATATGAAGACTATATGCCTAGAGAACCCTTAAGACCGGTACTGCAACGGCGTAGCTCGCTCAGCTACGATCCTTACGATAAGAATTACTACAACGAAGACGCCTATGGTAACCACTCCCTAAATAACTGGGGGTCCAGTGTGGAAGAGAGCCGCGATGTCCAGCCAGTGAGGAATCAACAGTCAAGACACAACTTAGTGAAGACAGGTGCAAAACCTACACAGAAGAAAGAGGAAGACAGAGAAAGTCCGCCCATAATAATCGCCAGCGGCCTCGTTCCCAAGAACCTGGAGCCTCTCACCTCAGAATACAAAGCTACTCACCCCGTCCAGAACGATGATGGAGGAAAAGGGGTTGGCAACAGTAGTCATAAAAGAAATGAAAGCCACCGTGGCACTGTGGATAAAGATCACCACAGTACTGGTAACAACGGTCACAGTGGTACTGGTAACAACGGTCACAGTGGTACTGGTAACGGCCACAGTGGCACTGGTAACAACGGTCACAGTGGCACTGGCAGTAATGCATACCACAGTACTAGCAATAGCAGTCATTGTACTACTGGAAGCGACTCTTACAGCACCGGAAATACGAATACTGGTTCGTATGGGTCAGGCGGCTGTAGCAGCTACAGCAATTATCCAGCAAGCAACAGCTACCCAATGAAAACCAATTATCCAGCAAGCAACAGCTACCCAATGAAAACCAATTACCCGACAAATACCAGTTACCCGACAGGCTCAAGTTATCCAGCAAACATCAACTACCCAGCAAGCACAAACTATCTAACACGCCCAAACTACTCAGCAAGTACCTATTATCTAACAAACACAAACTATCCAGCCAACACCTATTACCTAACAAACGCCAACTACCCAACAAGCACTAACTATCCAACAAACCCCAACAGTTCGGCAAGTACTTATTATCTAACACGGACAAACTACCCAGCAAGTACCAACTTCTCAACAAGTACCAGGAGTCGGATGGGGGGCGTCTCCGCCAGCAGGAGTTACCTGGCTAGAGAGAGAGATCAGTTTCACGAGCGATACTTTGAACCTGCGTCATATGGGCCAGTTACCGCCCCTCTGGCCTCATCACAGCAGAAATACAACATCAGCGATGTTTTCGACCGGCCACACGGTACCAGGCGGCCCGAACTCACCACTGTCATCACCAGAAGAACCGACGTTAGACCCAAACCAATGCTTGTCCACCAGGTACCACTCAGGGATGCGGATATCGGCAGAACCACCTACAAGAGTCCAGCACCAGAGCCACAATGGCGCCATCAGCAGCAGCAACAGCAGCAGGCAGCCCTTAATGAAGTATTCAGTAGAATGTATCAGAACGCCCCGAGCAGGAAACGAGGAGATGAGGTGAGTTTTGTAATATAAGTGATTTTTTATTTTTAGTATTTGGAGCATTTATCGCACCGACTTAGTAGTCTAATGGAGCCGGACTTGAGTCTTCACTTAATGAGATATTGTTAGTTTGTAATTTGATTTAATCATATTTTCACCAGCGTATTATACAAACCTAAAACATTAAGAAATATCCATGCAAATGTAGACGATATGCTTTTCTTACTTCTGTTTTCTACACCCACATACACAAAAAAATATACGCACGCATACATTCATACACATGTATGCACACATACATGCATACACACACATACACACATACACACACACACACACACACACCGATCCCTCAATCCTTCGGGTTGAGGGAAACAAGGAGTAGAGAAGAAGGAACGTTATGAAATACTTTTTCAGTCTCAGGATGAAAATTGGAACGAGCTGGATGAGGAGGTGGAGGAAACCTCAATATACAGTTTCAAGAGTAGGTATGATAGGGTCCAAGAGACCCAGTACCAATAATGGCGGCGATTGTAGGTAATGAGGAGAGGCCAGGATCTGAAATTCGACCCCTGCAAGCACAGCCCGGTAAGTACAACTCTATAAGTACACAAACAAAAACACCTGACTTCTCTTACAGTTGCGATTTGCATGAGGGAATTTTTTCAGCTCTGTTCCAGTCATTGTTGTGATTCGTGCTACGGAAATGCTGGAAAACAGCGAAGTTAGTCGACATATTTCACAAATTATTTTGGTGTGAGGCAGAGGATATGGAATGTGAGTTAGTGAGAGACTAAGAGGAAGAATGAGAGAATTAGTGAGTGAAAGGGAGATTGAATTAGCAAGAGGATAAGTGACATGGTAAGAAGGGTGAATTTACATGAGTGAGATAGAAAAGGGATGGGTGAAATAGCAAGAGGAAGGCAGAGTGAAGTGGTGGTCACTGAACCAGTGACAACCATCACTGAAGTAGTTGTCAGTGAACCAGTGACAACCATCACTGAAGTAGTTGTCAGTGAACCAGTGACAACCATCACTGAAGTGGTTCAAGTATTATAGTTCTTAGAAAACATGCTGATTTGAGTATCAGACAGATCGCCAAAAATTTGAGCCTAGCAAAGTCAACTGCTGGTCGGGAACTGAAGAGAGCTGACGACATTGGTAATTGTGGAGCGCTGCGTCGAGGAGATGTGGAAGAAAAAGCAAGACAACACCTCACGATGACAAGGTATCGTAAGAAACAGTGTGAAGGAACCCAAGAAAACTAGCAAAGATCTACAGAGAGATATAGATGAAGCTGGCATAAATATTGAATCTTCAACTGTTCGACAAAAGTTCCTTGAAGCTGACAGAACTTCCAAAAAGCCGGTAAAGAAACATTTATTGATTGCTTGTATGAAGAAAATACGGTTGCGGTGGGCACTCGATCATAAGGTATGGACGACAGATGAATGGAGAGAAGTTATATTTTCAAAAGAGGCGCATTTGAAGTACATGAGTACAGATCAGGGGTGGTGAAACAGAGCAAAGGCGAACCTCTTTGGAATGGACACAGTCAACAAGTGCCAAAACACCCACCTAATACATGTTTTTGGATAATTTTACTTCCAAAGACCCTGGACGGCTTGTTATTATTGATGGAACGATGATCAGTGGCACATACAAGGCATTCCTGGCAACTCATTTACTTTCCATTATGGATAAAGACTCTCCTGATGGAGAAGGCATTTTCCAGCAGGATCTTGCTCCATTCCTCATTTCCAGTAAAATCTTGACATTCTTCGAAAAGAGTGGGCTAAGCTTTCTAAATTATCCTGGAAACTCTCGTGACCTCAACCCAACTGAGAATGTATGGGCAATAACTAAATGTATGATCGCGAAACAGGACTATTCAACTGTTATTAGGACCTGTCACCGCCACGAAGAACTTGCCAAAATGTATTCAACATTGGTCGATTCTATGCCAAAGCGTGTCATGTCATTGCCGTGTATTTTTCAAATAAACATTAATTTTCAAAATCAATGTCTTATTTCATCAGTGTCCCAATTAATATGCACACTTCTGCAATTGTCTAACCTTTTCCCTAAGCTAATGTTCTTACTCCTACACATTTACGAAGGACTCTATCAACCCTTCCCCTGTGTCTAATTTATCAACATGTCGGTTCTCTGAACCATTCATCTACAACCCTTCCCCTGCTGTGCCATAAAGGTCTTCCTGCCTTGTTACCATGGTGATAAACAATAGTCAATAATGAGTTCTGGTATACAGTAGAATGATGACCATCCTTCAGTGACCTCAAACATTACGGGAGTTCATTAATGTTTGATATACTGGCATTCAACGAGTGCAGGCTGAATATTATGTTCTCTGAAAGACTGAGAGATTATGAGGGCGTGAGAGAAAAGGAAAGAGGGAAGCAGGAAGAGGAAGGAAAGGAGGGGAAGGGTGAAGAATTAGACACATAGGCAGCATCTAGATGTCTCTATTGTAGACGTTTCGCAAACTAGTGGCTTTACCAATACAAATTCAAGGACATAATTGGAAGACATTAGACGAAACGTCTACAATAAAGATAACTAAATGTTGCACATGTGTCTGATTCTTCATCTTGTCGGAAATGTATATCATAAATATACGAGGGAAAAGGTGACAAAGAGGAAAACAGATGAACAGAACTCGTGAGAAAGAAGGAAGGGAGAAAGGCAGAGAGAGAGAGAGAGAGAGAGAGAGAGAGGGAGAGGGAGAGAGAGAGGGAGGGAGAGAATGTGGGGGATGTGAATAAAATAAAGCTTCATGTCGCTGAGTTATATATTAATATTCATCATGTAACATTGTTTACACACAAATACCAGTCACGAGTCCGGAGTCATTACAACAGTAAGAGAAGAAGGTATATCTCTTCTCTCTCTCTCTCTCTCTCTCTCTCTCTCTCTCTCTCTCTCTCTCTCTCTCCTCTCTCTCCTCTCCTCTCTCTCTCTCTCTCTCTCTCTCTCTCTCTCTCTCTCTCTCTCTCTCTCTCTCTCTCTCTCTCTCCAACTCATTTCTTCTCTCTCCCTCAACAGGTATCAGAGACAGCCGGCCTACTGGAAGTACCTGCCAGCGTCAAGAACCAGCAGACAGCAGACTCTGCCTACAAGGAGCCAATCAAGTCCTCACCAGGACATACCAAGGACTCAGCCCTCGCTCCTACTGCTCGACAGGAACACTCCCACACGGTCGTTAATATGTCCTTGTGAGTACTTGTAGGAACCTTCAGAAGTTGGTAGGATGTTGACAGATAGTGGAGATGGTAGATAAGGGAGATGTTTTGGAAGCTAGAGTTTGAGCACAACAGAGGAAGATGAAGAGTATATATATATACATATTTTTTGTAGGATATTAAGGAGGACACCTGAGCGAAGATGCAAGAGCAGACAGAGATGAGTATAAGTGATTAGCAGAAGAGAAAGCTTTAGGAGAAATTTGTCAGGTTGAAAGCAATGGAAGGAGAGAAAGGAAAATGATTAATTGGCTTTAAAGAGATTTGCGAGTAGGAAGATACTTGGTGATGGATTTTTCTTGGGGGTGTAAATGCCTTCCTGTTGGAGCTGGAAATATGATCGGCTTCTGGAGCCCAGTAGTCAGCGAAACAGGTCCACTCACATATACACACAGTGAAGAGGCGGGGGCAGGAGCTGTGAATCGACCCCTGCAACCACAAATAGGTGAGTACATTCAAGACACTGTACACTGTGTATACTAGGCCCACATTAGAGTATGCATCGCCAATAAGGAATGCACACCTGGTCAAATGCGTCAAGAAATTGGAGAACGAGCAAAGGTTCAAAGCAAGACTAGTCCTGGAAGTAACGGATATGTCCCATAAAGAGAGGTTAAGAAACTCAACCTGATGACACTGGAGGACAGGAGGGATAGGGACGACTTGACGACGTATAAAATTTTGAGATTAATTGACAAGGTGGACCGGGCTAGAATGTTTCAGAGACGAGACACAGGAACAAGAGGACACAACTGGAAGTTGAAAACTCATTTGAGTCACAGGGATAATAGGAAGACCTTTAGCCTTAGACTTGTCAGGAAATGGGACAGTCTGGAGAGTGAAGTAGTGGAGGCAGGATCCATACATACCTTTAAGAAGAGGTACGATAAGGCTCTTAGAGCAGGGAAAGAGTGGACCTAGTAGCGACTAACGAAGAGGCGGGGCCAGAAGCTGAGTCTCGACTCCTGCAACCACAATTAGGTGAGTACACACACACACACACACACACACACACACACACACACACACACACACACACACACACACACACACACACACACACACACACCCACCACCACTGCACAAATTATGTTCTTAAGTAACAAACTTACAACCTGACCCTCGGTATAAATGATGATTACAACTTAGTCTTTTTTTTTAATTATGGAAGTAAGTACCACAATATTTTCAACTATTCATGACTAGTAAATCCTACGACCTGGTTAAATAACCCACTATGCCACAACTTGGTGAAAACTCGGCTAAAATAACATTTTTCTTTTAAATATTTATTGATTAACTTGGACGATTACATAACAAAATGCAAATAGATGAATTTTTAAGCCTGTTTTTAATTACGTTACGAATTTATATTAATTTTAGAATATCTGCTGCCTTGTGCTGCTCTGAGTAAAATACCAACAGCGCCTGATATGTCTGCTTGACGTCACACCAGTAGTTCCTAACCTTGCAATGATCCAGTCAATACTGCAAAGTGGTCATCCTCCGGTTGGTTGGCTAATTGGACTACATAAGTGTTATTAAGGCTGCAGGTTACCTGTTCTCTCTAATATAGGTATTAAGTAACCTCTCAGGGTATATACATTGAAAACCAACAGTTGAAGAATGGGACACTTGTCCAATATTTGAGAATCTTTGTAGAAGAAACGTTTCGCCAGAGAGTGGCTTCTAAAGTCCAATAGAGAGAAGAAGGGTGAAAGATGAGGAGGAGAATGGGATATTCAGTCCCTCAGCCTGGAGTCGATGTCCATCGATCTTGAGATATACACACCTTTCGGTTTATATGGCCTAGGGTTATCCTCCAGCGTATGGGGTCATTTTAATCCATCAACCAATAATTAAAATCCCAACTTTTTGCTTTGTTTAAAGTGGCTTAAGTTCACCTGGGTCTTTGATCACTCTACGCGAATTCCCAAAGAATCAGGCACACTGTAGAATGTAGATTTATTTGGCTAAGAGCGCACAAAAGAAGGATCCTGAAACAAGATCGTGTCTTATTTGCAGCGCTCATTTCAAGGGTGACGCTTTTACAAATTTCATGATGGTGTAGATGAATCTTGCAAAGATCAAGGCAAACAATGATGTCGCACTCAAGGGAGGTTCCTTTATGCCAGAAAGGGACTCCTGGCGCAAGGATTTGTATCCGTCCTCCCATTTTCTGAATCGAATCTGATTCCCTCCTGCCATTTTCCCGCGGATTGTACGACCCCTATGGGTTTACGCTCCCCCTAAATAAAATAATAATGCGGTAGCTTTCATGAAGCCAGTGTTTGCATCAGCAACTACTGATGAATCATCACCAGCAAAGGTAGCGACAAGAAAACGTCAGACCCACTGACCACATAATACCAGCTCCATGACTCTCAACGTACCTTAAAATCCTCAAGCGATACAGTGCCATCAAAAGACTTTGGAGCTACAATACAACCCCTCGAAAGGGCTATCCTCAAGTGGTCCAAGAGTTGTAATTCAATGCTCTGAAGAAGTCTGGCACTTATAGTTCAACACCTCCTAAAGGCCCATAAGCTGTAACTCAATGCCTTTATGAGTCACGGAAGATGTAGATCAACACCCTTAAGAAGTCCACGAGCTAGATCTCAACCAGTCACACATCGTAAAACTAGTTTGGATTTGTTCGTACATTTCTCACCACCAGAGTAGGCGACGTAGAGGCAGAGAGGTAATGGTTTTCATGAGACAGTCTGTCACGGAGTCACGGAAACCAATAGACTGATTCTTATGAAACACCCACTGGTTATTTTCCCACCTCAAGGATATACTGGAGTACACCACTGGGAAAGATAATTAAATTCTTGAATTAAGCCTAATTTTCTGAATTTGTTGCAGGATGTGAGATAAATACAAATATCTCTTAAACGTCTAAAAGAAATTACTTAAAAACATAATGTAGACTTCGTTCAGTGTGACGTCTCGTTTTAATTTGTTCAGCTTGAAATTCCACTTCCTGCGGAAAAATGTAATCACTGAAATGTAATCACTGAATTGGCAAACTGAGTACCAGGATTAAGCCTGGTAAAAATCTGAACCTTCCATTGGGTGAGATACAGCACAGATGATAGTTTGAAACTGACACGAAAAAGGCATTCTCAAGTTAGCACATGGATACCAATACCTCATTTTGTTTAATAATATTGTCAAATTAACACTTACACAGCCCAGAGCTGATCCAGCAATACACCAGTGTTGAGAATTTGAAGTAGATCACAAGAGGTCTTAAATTATAATATGGAAACAAATATCCTAATTTATCGGCTAAAATTGGCAGTTTGACACTTACACAGTCCAGTAATAAAGTTTTTTTCCTCTCTGTATTGGACTGAAGAAGGTACTCGTTGGCGAAACACTTCCTCAGTCAAGATTTCCAAATGCTGCACAAGTGTCTGAGTCTTTAACAAGTCGGTTTTCTCAACCATTTCATCACATCTGAAGAGGGTACATCAACACCGAAAGTTTGAAGCTTATGATAAGAAATACTATTTTAATTAATAAAACTACGCTTATTTTAATTAATAAAACTACGCTTATTTTAATTAATAAAACTACGCTTATTTTAATTAATAAAACTACGCTTATTTTAATTAATAAAACTACGCTTATTTTAATTAATAAAACTTCACAGCACCAGAAACAGTCTAAATATTTCTCTAGGTTAAATAATAAAATCAACAGAAATTTAGTAGGGGGGATTTAATGACCTGACCAGCAGTATAAGCTAGGTAGAACTAGGCTTTGAAATTAGCCAAGGTAAGATAATATAGCTTGTAAATAAAACTGTGTAAAAAGAATGGTATATATCCATTTTTTTTAAATTGTGAAGCTTTAGGGTATAAATATATCTAGACTAAATATACACGAGCCTACATTAACAGTGTTCTGGGCTTCAGATTTTATGAGAGTTAATACAAGAATGTTGGTAAAAAATAACGTTATTAGCACGTTGCATATGATTACGTGTCCAGAGGCTTGCAAATGTTGGGAACAAGTCTTGATTTCTAAGCTGAGCGACTCGCATATTTATGCTATTAAAGTCATGCACACTGGACAAACTCGTAAATCTCTTGAACCAAGTTTAAGTAATTTACCAATTTATACAACAAAATTATCCAATTAATTAAGACAGGCGAAAATATATTTCTCCTAACTATTCCATATTTTTATACAAAAATAGATATTACTCTTAAATTTATTGTCTCTTTTATGCACAGTTTAATCGCTGCAGTGATAACAGGGGCTGGCAGTGGTAGACTGCGTCCACCGTGTTTAACTAGGTGTGTCCAGGGTTCCTCTTGACCTTCCACACCTCTCCCCTCACACGCAACAGTAACAAGCGTGTATTTTGCACTGCAGGCATGCTATTACCGCCAAGCAACAATACATTCTAAGCCTTAATGAATGTTAGTGTTGGTACATGCTCAGGTATACATCAAGATACATGTACAGGACAGATACAGGTACAAGTCCCAGTATGGATATGGATACTTGTGCAGCTACTGTTGTAGGCACAAGAATATAAATAGGTAGAGGCAGGTACAGGCAAGTGTACAAGAATAAGTACAGGTACAAGCACAGGGATAGATACAGAAAAAAATACCAGCATAGATAAAAATATAGATAAATTCATTGGTGTAAACTGACAGAGGTAGAGAAAATTCGTACTAACCTGTCAAATACACCTTTCGGGAGCAATAATGTACATTATTACGTCTTATCACGATACATACACATGTGTAGAACACTGTTTCACATTCCTTTCAGAACGAGGACATGCATATGTCTTTCTTTATTCACAAAACAAGTACATATACGTACTTTCTACCTTCCATAACACAGACATCGTTTCTCTTCCCTCGCAGAGCAGTGGTGTGGTCGACACTGTCCTCAGGAGAGTCAATGCCATGTATGTAGATGACAGTGCCATGTCGTCATCAACA